TACAATATAATGACATTCATCATTGGAAATTTGCACCTTTACATAATCTCTCTTGGTCCTTATTTTTCCCCCTTCCCCCCCCCTCCCTTCAACCCCTCCATCCCTCCCTATCTACAAAGACTTTGTTTCCATTTTTTCATTTTCTCATATTAATTCCATTCCCTTCTTTCCTTTTACTCTGCACTTTTCTGCATTAGCTGATTTACCTGGCAGAATCATTCTTCTAATCAGTTTCTATGTTCACGTTCCTTCTTGTCCACCTAGAATAGTGCTTTCCATTCTGCATCAGTGGAAATACTCCCTTTGTACTGTGCAGATGGCAGCCACTAGCCACAGATGGCTCTCGGGCACTGCAAATGGGGCCAGTTGGACTGAAAAACTTAATATTTAAATATTTGCTGGGAGTGGAGGCTGAGGCAGGAGGATTGCTGCGAGTTCAAGGCCAACCTGGGCTACATAGCGAGACCCTCTCTCGAAAAAAAAATTGAATAGTCAGTGTGTGGTTAATGTCTACAATGCAGGTCTAAAATGTGGCAGCTTTTATGTTTCTTTGATGGATTAGAAAATTGAAGCACAAAGAGGTCAAGTCTAAGACCATCCCAGTAGCTCAGTCATCTGCTACCTAACCTCATTACCTGCTGGTGGCAAACCTAGAGGGAAGGAGCCGAGAGACTATGTGGTCCCCTCCAGACGGGTGGGGGATCCACCTACACATGGAGGAGCCGTGCGGCCACAAGGCTGAAATCTAGGTCAACTCCTCGGAAGGAGAGACTCGACTGCGGAGACTCAACCTCCAGAGGTCGTGTCCTCTGGAGGCTCGGCTGGTCACCACGTGTCCAGTGCTTCACTTAACAGAGGTGACCCAGCCTCGAGGGTGTGCAGGTCCAGGCAAATTCACGAATGGTAGGGCTGGGAGGAGAGCGGAGCAGGTAAAGGCTCCTGAGCGAAGGAGGGCTGTGCTGTCGGGTTGCTCGGGGAGGTGGCATTTGAGGCAAGACCATGGCTGACGTAAGGAAATGCGCCTTCCCAGGAGAGCCCTCCAAACAGCACAGCCGGCACCGAGGCCCCGAGGTGCAAATGCATTCAGAATAGCACAAGGAAAGGAAAGCGTGGACAGAACGAGGCCAGACTGGAGAGAGCTGGACTCATACCTCTCTATGGCTGGAGTTCAGATTTCATTCTTGGCCTGAATTGGAAGCCAGAAACAGTTGAGAGTCTCGTGATAGTAATGTACCCCAAAGCAGTAATAAGAATCCCAAAGCAGGGCTGGGGATTTAGCTCAGTGGTTTCACCGCCTGCTGCGCAAGCGCAAGGACCCAAGTTCAATCCCCAGTACCAAAAAAAAAAGAATCCCAAAGCATTCAATGGCAAAAGATGGAAGGAGCTACGATCTCTACCAATAGAGCAGTAAATTATAGCATAGCTCCATGCTGAATATGGTCTGGCAGCCACCAAGAATAGCAAACAAAGCCAACACAAGAAAGCTTCTTATGCTTCTCATGCATTTCCTCTTTCCCCAGCACCCTGGAGGCTCTGATCAACTTCGCGTACAATGGCAACCTTGCCATCGACCAGCAGAACGTGCAGTCGCTGCTGATGGGGGCGAGCTTCCTGCAGCTGCAGAGCATCAAAGACGCCTGCTGTGTGTTCCTCCGAGAACGGTGAGGTGACCTGGAGGGAACGCTGCCCTGTCCTTTCCTCAGCCCCTGCCAGTTGCTGGGTCCCTGGTGTCCCTAGTGTGTGTCTGTCATGCAGGGAGTGTGGCTCTGGGATCCTTCCTCTCAGAGATGACATGTCTGGAAATCAGCGCCGGGCAGCACCCACCTGTTGGGGATGAGCCTTTTGCACAACATGTTGTCCTGCCTGTCACCGTCCTTGGGGTGGCGAGTCCCTTTTCCTGTCTTCCTGCTCCAGCCTCACCAGCCTCTAGTTTTGCACCAACCTGATTTATTCCGTGCTTCCCAACTGTTCCCTAGCCATCTCCCTTTCTGCTGGGGTTTCTTAATCTTTTTATACTTCAGCTGTCAGTAAGAGTCGCCCCTGGAATTCTCTGTCCCCCTGTCCACTGGAGTCCTCTGTGTCCTTTTAGGGCAAGGGCTGTGTGTGATGCCCCCACCCATTTCCAGTGTGTGCCAGGGGCTTTGTGGTTCTCCATGACCTATTGAGTAGGTCCTCCCTCCCTCCCCGTCAAGACAGAGCTCTCAGTCATAGCTAAAGGCCATCTCACCACCAGAGGCCTAAGGAGAAGGGCAGCGCTGGGCCACACGGGGGCAGAGAGAAACCAGGGTACCAGTGCTCTCAGGGCCCAGCCTCCACCCGGCCTCCTGTGGTCACCAGGTTCTGGCCTGAGGCCAACCTTCTCTGGCCCACCTCTGCCCTCAGAGCCCCAGCCTCTCTTGGAGCTGACCTTGCCTTCCCATTCCCACTCCTCTGGTCCCACACACTTAGCTACTCGCCGGACCCCTTCCTGCCCATAGCACTGGACGGACATCGTGAGCATCCACTGTGTGGGCAGCTGGTCGTAACCACCGTGGAAGTGGGGCCTCAGACGCAGTGACATTCATCTGCTGGGTGCAGGGTGCGTGGCTTCATCTTGTTGTCTTGTGTCCGGTTTTGCAGATGGAGGCCTAGTGACCGTGTAGTCTGAGAGCCAGGCCTGAGCCTGGATGCTTCTAGGGCAGGCTGGAAGGGAGCCTGTGAAGATGTATGGTGCATACACTGCCCTTTCCTACTTGTTTATGGGTTTAAAGACACAGAACAGACCCACTTCACTCCTTTGTTCCCGTAGAACTTGGAGAACGGCTTTCTGACCAAGTAGGAGCTCCCAGGACTGTTGGCCATCCTCACACCTTCACCGGAGGGAACAGCGCCCCCTAGGGTCCTTTGAGGTCACCACATCACTGGATTCAGGCTCCAAAAGATGCTGACCTGTGATTCTAAACCAGTGCAGTAACATCTTAGGAATAAGTACTTAAACATAAAGCCTGGTGTCCTGAGTCTGTCCTTAGCATTTTTTTATTCAGCAACACAGAACGCCTTCTGAGACTTAAGCCCATACCTCATTCCTGTTTCTTTTCCCTGCCACAGGCCCCAGAGGTGTGGCCTGCTTCCTGTTTTCTCTCCGGTACTTACTGTCCCTGCCTGTTCCTTAGGTGGCTCTCCCTGGGCCTGGCTGCAGAGTGACATGGGGCCCTCCGGGTTCCCCTTCCTCGTGCCCCTGAGAACGAGCACCCAGGCTCTGCAGCTAGAAGGTTTGGTTGCCTGCAGCAGGGAACAGCATCTTAGCCATGGTGGAGAGAAGGGTATGCACCACAGAGACACTGCGGCCTCAGCCTTGGGGGGATCTTTAGCTCCCTGCTTTCCCTCCAAGGTTACCGCTGATTTTTTGTTTTATGGCCCTTTTCCCAGATATTGGGGCCTCCTTGGTTTAGGTGAGCATTAGAGTTCTTGTCTGAAACTCTTCTCTCAGAGCTTGATTGTTTTGTTTTGTTTTTGTGTTAAAGATGCTAGGGATTGAGCTCAAGGCCTTGTGCATCCTGGGCCTACCGAGCTGCAGCTGGCCTCAGAGCTAGGTTGTAATAGGAAGTACACAGCTTCCTGCCTCCAATAAAGTATCATCTTCTGCGGCCTCCTTGCTGAGAAAGTTGAGCTACATCAACAAGGAAGAAGACTGCGAAGTAGCTAATGAAAAATGTGGGTCTCCATTTCCCTGTTAGGGTTGTTTTCCTTCCTGCTTCCCTCCAGAGTGGGCCTCTTCCCTCCCCAGCAGCATCCTCCAAACAGGCTTCCCACATCCCTCTCTCTTGGATGTGGTAGCACAGTTCAGTTAAGATGTGTTCGATGCCCAGCATCCTATCAAACCTGTCAAGATGAGGCACAGACACCCTGACCTGAGCTGAGAAGCTGGAAGGAGATGCTGGCAGCTGCCTGGATCATCCTTGCCCTCATCTTTGGACTCTGTCCACTCCTAGTCCTGGACCCTCGAACCCTGTGGGGCGGGTGGCAGAGTGGTAAGACCCAGGGAAGGTTGATCCTCATAGCTGCTTATGTTTGTGAATTGCTCTGTCAGCTCTTACTCAGTGCCTTAGGAGAAAAGTGCTTCTGGACAGATGACCTTGGGCCTGTGTTTCCCGCTGGCTGTGCTGTCGGTGCACTGCACCCAACTCTTGTTTCCTCAGCCTTTGGGAATCACCAAGTTTCCAAAGCAGTGGGTAGAACAAGTTCAGGCTGTTACGAATGATAGTCAGATCCCTAGATTCTCAGTCCTTTCAGTGACAGGTCTGTTGCTGGGCGACATGGGTGAGTATTGCTTAGTGTACGTAACCCTACCTATAACCTTTAAGTCACCCTGAGGGAAGAAGAGAGAAGGAAATCATTGTAACAGGAAAAGTAAGCCCCAGCAGGTCATCAGTCACAAAATCAGAGAAAAGGTCCATCCCCCTGGAGCCTGCTGCTGCCACCAAGATGTCAGAGCCACACGGGTTCACTTGGAATTAGGAAAACAGCCATCATAGAAATTAAAACAGTAGCTGACTTCTTACCAGGCACATGCTTTGTGTGTCTGCCTACAGTCTTTCTTTTTTCATTTTTTAATTTAATTAATTTTTTTTTGGTACAAGGATCAAACTCAGGACCTTGTTCTTGCAAGGCAGGTGTTGGCACCATTGAGCTAAGTCCCCGGCCCTTTCACTTTTTATTTATTTTTATTTTTTTTCACTTTTTTTTTTTAAATTTTTTTTTTTTTTTTTGGTACCAGGGATCGAACTCACTTTTTAATTTTAGAGACAGGGTCTCCCTAGTTTGCCCAGGCCAGCCTGAAGCCCCTGGGCTCAAGCGATCCTCCTGGCTCAGTCTCTCTGGCCACACCCCCAGGAGGTGGGTCGATGTCATCATCTTTTTCCAGGTAAAGAAATGGCTGACATGTGGGAGAACTCAAGGAACCCACTCAGGTTGCCTAGGGAAAGCCAGGGCCAGGATTGCCCTGACCCTAAAGAGAACTGTTCCCCCCTGCTCCTGTAGGAATGCGTGCAAGAGGTCAGGTTCAATCTCAGCACCACACTTGCTGGTCCAGAGACTGGGAGCACATTTCGTGAGAGCAGTGTGCAGGGCTGTTAAAAAGATTTTGGAAAATAACCTATAACCCCAGCTACTGAGAGGCTGAGGCAGGAGGATCACAAGTTCAAGGCTGGCCTGGGTAACTTAGCAAGACTTTCTTAAAATGAAAAGAAGAGGGCCTGGGGATTTAGCTCAGTGGTTTTGCCGCCTGCTGCGCAAGTGCAAGGACCCGAGTTTGATCCCCGGTACCAAAAAAAAAAAAAAAAAAAGAAAAAGTAGAAAGAGCTGAGGATGTAGCTTAATGGTAGAGTGCTCCTGAGTTCAATCCCCAGTCCTGCAAAAAAAAAAAAAAAAAAGATTTCGGAGAATGTGTGTAAAAGTATAGCACACAGCAGCCTGTTTGACTCGCTGATGCTGACTAAATGATAAGCTCCTGGTGCTATTTCCAGAGACCTGAACAGTGAGGTCCATGGAACCTCTTTCTTCCTAAGAGGAAGAAAAATGCATAAGGGTCCTGTTGTTGGAGAGATCATCTCAGTTACTTCTTGGGCTGGGGATGTAGCTCTGTGGTGGAGCATTTGCCTGCCATATTCAAGGTCCTGGGTTTGATTCCCCCACCTCACAAACACCCCCCTAAAAAACAAAACAAACTGACCAGTCATCTCTCCCCATGACTTGGACTCCCTGTGCAGCCCCAGTGCCTTCCCGGTGCCCAGGGGTGTCGTCAGGTCCTGGACACCAGCCAGGAGCTGCAGGGCCGGCAATGTCTGTCCTGTCCTCACAGCGATGACACAGGACCTCCCAGGCCTCCCACCTTGTCCACCGGGCTCCAGGCCTATGAAGCAAAATCCTCTAAGTAAGATAAACTGTCTTAGGTGCCTTTAGAGGTGAGTCCTGGTGGGTTCACTTGGTGTCATAGGGAGTTTCCAGCAAAGCTGGGGACAAAATTAGTCTGTATTGTTCCGTGGCTCCACCCAGAACCATCCTGAGAATGATCAAAGGTAACATTCTTCCCTCCTCTAATTTGTTGGTTTTTTCATTTTTTCTTATATCAAAAGGCTCCACCCCAAAAACTGCCTGGGTGTGCGCCAGTTCGCTGGGACAATGATGTGCGCTGTGCTGTACGACGCGGCCAACAGCTTCATCCACCAGCACTTTGTGGAGGTGTCCCTGTCGGAGGAGTTCCTGGCCCTGCCACTGGATGACGCGCTCGAGCTCCTGTCCCAGGACGAGCTGAATGTGAAGTCAGAGGAGCAGGTCGGTATGCTCAGCCGTAGGCTGTGCGGGTGACTGGGATGCCGTTCCCTCCACCACTGTTTTCTGTTTTTTCTAAACAAAGTTAAGATCAGTGTGTATCCAGCTATTATGTACAGTGGGGTTTGTTTTATTGCATGTGTTGTTCATGAAAACGTTTATATTTTAAAGCCTTAATACTCTTATCATCTCCACTTCCCTTATTCTTATGTGTTTGGGTTATTTCTGATCTCTCCTATTAGAAATAATATTGCCGTGAACTGGAAATAGTGAGTGTAGACAACTTTTTTTATTTTTTTATTTTATTATTTTTTTATTTTTATTTTTATTTTTTTTCCTTGCGCTTGTAAGACAGGTGGCAGAACCACTGAGCTAGATCCCTGGCCCTATAGACAACTTTTGAAGGAGGTTTTTTTTGTTGGTTTTTTTGGGGGTCGGGGGGTGGTTGAGACAGGTCTCTCTTTGTAGTCCAGGCTGGCCCTGAACTCACTATGTAGTCCAGGCTGGCCTCAAACTCAAGGTGATCTTCTTGCCTCAGCCTCCCGAGTGCTGGGACTACGGGTGTGTGCCTCCACACCCGGAATGAAGGAGGTTCTTTCTAAAGAAGAGCAGAGCCTGGGGCAGTCACTGAAGGGAACATGAAGTCAGGAGGGTTTTGGCTTTTCATTAAGGTGAGGGGTGTACAGCGTACTTGACTGCTGATGAGACTTTGCAGGAAAGGGGACAGGGCGAGCAGTTGCTGGCAGTGTTCTGAAGGGAGAAGTGATAGAGTCAGGGCACAGGGTGCATTGGACAGAAGCAGGAGCCGTCCATGCCCAAGCAGCAGGAGGGAGAGCCGGGTGCATGCAACCAGGTGCTGCAGGAGAGGTATAGTAGATTCTTAAGGATGCTGTCTTCTGAGTTGCTTCTGTCCCCTCAGCAGGGAGCGAGGAGCAGCAGAGATAAACGAATATGAGTTGTCTTCTGGGGTAGAGCACTTGGACAGTGCTAGGGAGATAAGAGAGAGCTGGTGGGTAGCAGATCAGTAGTCAGAATCGCAGTGAACTGGTCGGCTTTGTTGTGTGTTCGCTGTCAGCCGTCACTGGTGCAGGGGCAGAGCGGGGGTGAGGAGAACTTAAAGAGCTGGACCTCCTCAGCTTAGAGTGTTTTTTCCAGGTGCACCTCAGTGAGGAAGCTAGGAGCTAGGCATGGGAATCAAGGGCACCCGCGTGACAGCCCGTGGAATCTGTGCTGGCAGAGGGGCGAGGACAAGGGCCAGATGCAGGGGGCTGGGAAGGAAGTGGGGGTCAGTGTCAAAGACCAGAGGGTGTCGATTCCTGAGCTGGAGCAGTAGGAGGGACGGCTCTCAGTAAAGCCAGTTCTAGTCATGGAGGGTGAAGCTATGGGCAGAGTGGGCTTTGGGCAGCCTTGGGTCCTCTAAGGACAGAGAAGACAGATCTTGGCATGGTCGAGAAAAGCTAAAATGAGAGCAGGTGTTAGTAGCCAGAGAGGAGCAGAGGACTAGCGTTCGGACAGAACCCCTCTGCTGCCTTGGAGGTGTGCAGCTCGTCTCTAAAGGATGCTGAATAAGTTACTTTGAGCAGAGGGTGGCAAGGACTGGCAGTGCAGGCTGAGAAGTGTGGCCCGGGCCTGCAGGCCCTGAGAAATTGCTGCTGCCACGCCTCTGCCTTGGTCAGCTGAGAAGTCTTGGCCTTTGGTTGGCCAAGGCAGTTAGAACGCTTGAAACTGAGTGGTGGCCTGCATGAAGCTGGGCTTCAGTGGGAGCCCTAGGCTCTAGGAGGCAAGCGGTGGGGTGTGAGGCCCAACTCAGCTAATTTCTCAGTGACAGAAGAGTCCCCACCCTGAGTATTAGTGACCAGTAGAAAAGTGGACCCTGAGCCCACAGTATGGACCCTGAGTAAAGAAAAGAGCCTCATCCCGAGATCAGCCGTTCTGCCCCAGCTCTTCTGCTACCGAGTGTGACCTGGGGCAGCTCACATTTATTTAAGTGACGTAGCTGTGGATGGGAGGATGGGTTTTCAAGGGAGACATCCTTGTGGCTGGAGCCATTAAGGAAGGCTTCTCAGAGAACGTGGATCTCAAGCCAGGCCTTAGAGGAAGGGGAGCGGGTTTGAGGGAAGAGGCTAGGAGAGGACATCTAGATGAGGGTAACAGTGGGAACCCGGAACAGGCCCAGCCTGGCTAGAGTTGAGGGTTTTGAGGGGTTGGTGTAGGGGCAGCTGGAAGGGAGCAAAGCAGGCATCTTGTTGTGATGCAGAGAGGAGTACAGTGCCCTGATGGTTGTCAATAGGAAATCATAATGAAAACCAGGAAGCTGTTCCAGCAGCCCAGCCTTGCATTGCAAAGGCGGGACCAGATGGGGTAGCTGAGGAAGTGGAGAGAAAGCAGTGCATCTGGGAGACAAGTAGGAGGAAGGATTTCAGGGCCGAGCAAGGAATTGAGGCTAGGGGCCAGGGGAGTGGCTCCCAAGTGGGGTGACTGTTGCCTGAGCACCCTCTTCCTCATGGCAGGTCTACGAAGCCGCATTGGCCTGGGTCAGATATGACCGGGAGCAGAGGGGTCCCTGCCTGCCCGAGCTGCTGTCCATCATCCGCCTGCCTCTCTGCCGTCCCCAGTTCCTGACTGACCGAGTACAGCAGGATGACCTGGTACGAAGCTGCCACAAGTGCAGGTGAGCAAGGTAGACTCGCATGGGACACTGCCAAAGGCCTAGGTGGTGGACTCGGCTACTAGTTCCACTTACAGCTCCAGGGAGGACAGATTGGGAGTGATCCACCTAATTCAAGGCACATGGATTGGGCACACTCTCTCTAGAATAGGAGAGGAAGTGGTAGGAGCCCAAGTCTTCCACCAGGGCAGAGAGAGGTGCAGCGTGGGGCACTGAGGCAGAAGGGGTGTTTCTCCCCACGTGGATGAGGATGTTCTAACATTTTCACCACGGAGCTGCTTGAGGTGGACAAGCATCCGTCCTGCCTGCCCTGGCCCTGTCCACCCTGGCCGCTGATTGAGTGGTGTGAATGGGACTTCCTGGAGCTCCTTGCCCCCTTCAGTAAATACTAAGTCAGGGCCCCATCTCTGGGGAGCACAGGCTTTGTGGCTGCAGCAATGGGCAAGGAGAGGACTAGTTTACCAGCTGTGAAACCTTCCCCAGAGAAAAATCAGTGGCGATAGTACAGGAGAGCACCAAGCCCGTCCCGGGGTGACAGCCCATTAAAGCTTTGATCAGTTTAAAGCAGCAGAGAAAAATGCCCATCCTTCAGATTGCTTGGCATACTCACAACAGTGAACATTCTTCACTAGGCATGATAGCGCATGCCTATAATCCCAGCACTGAGGAGGCTGAGACAGGAGGATCACTGTGAGTTCGAGGCCAGCCTGAATTACATAGTAAGACTCTGTGTCAAAAAACAGAAACAAAAAGAAGAAAGAAAATTCTCCTTTGCCAGTAAAGTTTTTGCCCATATTCAGCTCTCCCCTTCTTCTCTCGCTCCTGCTGGGGTCAGCTGGTTCAGGAGGAAGTCGGGGCTCAGTGCCAGCAGTGTGAAGGATGGTGGCAGAAACCCGTGGCAGTGCGGCCAGAACAGTGCTGTTGGCAAGGAGGGGTAGTATCTTAGACGGCTAAGTTAGGTAAAAATACCATAGGCAGTCAGACAGGACTGGGCCCTCGAGGGAGTCGGTACAAAAAATAAAAACACATCACAGCTGTGGCCGGAGGCACAACTGTTAGAGGCCAGGCCTCAAAATAAGGACAAAATGGCCGGGCCTGCATGCCTCCCCAGGAGATAATCGGTATCACCTGGTCCAATAACATCTGGCTAGCCGTCAGCCACCCTAGTGGGTGACCAAGACCCCCAGTCTATCCCTTCCTAAAGAAAGACTTTGTTCTTGCCATGTACACTTGCCATGTGACCTGCTTCCTCCATTGGATCAATATTACCTAAGCTGCTATACTTAGAATCTTTTTTTTTTTTTTTTGCTACCGGGGATTGAACACAGGACCTTGAGCTTGCAAGGCAGGCGCTGGAACCACTGAGCTAAATCCCCGGCCCTATACTTAGAATCTTATTGGTTGATCATAGTTTTAACCCAAATTACGCCCACCTCATGATTTTACTCTATAAACTTCCTTTGAGGGCTGAGGATTTAGCTCAGTGGTTTCGCCGCCTGCTGCACAAGCGCAAAAACCCGAGTTCGATCCCCGGTACCAAAAAAAAAAAAAAAAAAAAAAAAACTTCCTTTGAAAAGTAGACTCATTGGCATCCCGCTTTCGGGTCCCCTCCTGTCTCTCAGGAGCTCTCTTTCTCTCTCAATAAAGTTTTCCTACTCGTAACCTCCGTTGTTCCATAAAATGCATTCTTTGATTTTAGAGAACACAAACTCAGCGTACCTAACATCTCGCAGGTTAAGAGTTACATTTATTTCCCCTCCGTCAGTAGCTTTCTGAGGTCTTAGAGAAACAGCCTGGACTGTGGTGTGGAGGGTGCTGGGACAGGGACATGGTGGGGACAGGGAGAGGAGAGGTGTTGATCGCAGCGTGTGGGCCCCAGTGCCCTGTGCCGGGAAGAAAGCTTTGGTCCGAGTGTGACCGGTTGCCAGCCCCACCCACCCGTGCCTGCTCTGTGCCAGGTAGAAGATTGTGCTCATTACACCAGCAGGGGTCGCTCTGCTCATCCCGCCCCTCCACTTTGGAGCGTGTCTCAGCCTACCAGGCTTCACCTGGGTTCTTTGACACCAGACCTTCCAGAAGGCTTCTCCTGCCCGGTTTTCCTTGCCTGCCGTTGGGGGTGGAGGAGCCTGGCTCAAAAGTGCAGATGTGGACAGAGGGGAGAGGATGCCTCTCGTCCTAGCATCCTGCACGTTTTTCCAGGGACCTGGTGGAGCAGGCAAAGGACTATCACCTCATGCAGGAGCAGCGGCCCCACCTCCTGGCCTTCAGAACTCAGCCTCGCTGCTGCACGTCCATTACTGGGCTGATCTACGCCGTGGGAGGCCTCAAGTCAGCAGGTATCTTGCAACCCCCTTGTCTGGGACACCTTGGGGGTTTTTTGTTTTTGTTTTTGCTTGTTTGTTTGGAGACAGGGTCTCTCTATGTAGTTCAGGCTGGCCTTGAAGTCATGATGTAGCCCAAGTTGGCCTAAAACTCATGGCGATCCTCCTGCCTCAGCCCTCCTAGTACTGGAATCACAGGCATGTGCCACCACACCTGGCCTCATCTGGGACATCTTGGATGCAGAAGCACAGTCAACCCCTCCTGGGCCTTCTGGCTCCTCTGCTTCGACCTATTACCTCCCTCTCCCCTCTCAATTTGATGTCGTTGCTCTGCAATCAGAGCTGTCACATGTTTATGCCATTGAACCCGAACCTCGGTGCTAAGGAGGCCTTAGAAATCCTCAAGGCCTCACCTCCTTACATTACACCCAAGGAAACTGAGGTGCAGCCGCACTCTCCCTAAACATCGCACTATCTGTGGCATTTAGTCAGCCGGGTACAGGGTGCAGTCAGGAGGAGCCCAGCTCTGTGTGAGGCCATCTGCCTTCAGGGGCTTCACAGTCCTGCGCCGCCACTGTGCTTCAGGGCTCTGGTGTCCTGCAGTCAGGTTTTCAGGAACACCCTCGGCCGGGCCTCCAGAGCCCTTGGTTGGCAGCCCCAGGCAGTTTTGTTTAAATGGAAGGTTGTGAGAGGTGGGTGGCAGTCTTCTGCATGTGAGCCTCCTGACCTGGAAAAGGAAGTCCTGAGTCCTCAACTCCTTGAGCATTAGAGAGAGTAGCAAGTGCTAAGAGAGCATCTGATAGGGAAAGGAATTATTTAATTGATTGTCATAAGAACCAGTGAAAAAGGGTAGGGCTAGAATTATTACTCCTTGCTGCTCTGACTGTGGTTTCCTGAGCATATTCTAGAACCGTGCTAGTCATGTAATCCTCCTGGCAGCTCTACTGGAAATGTCACGTACGAAACAGGGTGAGGGCAAAAGGCCTTGGCAAGGGTTCCTCGGTAGTAAGTGAGGGGTGGTTTGGGACCATGCTCTTCCCTCCGGGCCTGGCTCCCGAAGTGAGGCAAGTGAAGGGCCTGATGTAAAGGGGAACCACCCTGTCGGAAAGGTAAAGCCCTCCTGTCTACTTCTGGTTTCCCTTGGAAGAAGTTGTGAAGCCATGAAATTCCTTAACAGGCCTTTGTGCTCTGAGTAGTTCTGAGGGAAGAGCTAATAGCATCAAGTCAAATGTTCCATGTAATCCATGTCCACTAGCCGTGATCTAAACAAATGGTCTCATTTGTTTTAATTTGAGTAGCACATTTTTATGCAGGTGATTCCCTGAATATGGTGGAAGTGTTTGACCCCATCGCCAATTGCTGGACGAAGTGCCATCCCATGACGACGGCCCGCAGCCGGATGGGCGTGGCCGTGGTGAACGGGCTCCTCTACGCCATCGGGGGTTACGACGGCCAGCGGCGGCTGAGCACAGTGGAGGCCTACAACCCACAGACAGACACGTGGACCCATGTGGGCAGCATGAACAGCAAGAGAAGGTATTCGGGAAGCCTCGAGCAGGCCAGGCACAAACACAGCCCCGGGGAGAGCCATGCTGGCCAAGCAGGGAATAGTAAAGTAAAACACGAGCCTTGGTCCAGGAAGGCTCTGCAGCCAGGCCAGCCACTGTCGGCATCGGTCTGAACATAAAAGGCTGCCTTGTCCTTCAGCAGTGTGGAGAGGCGAGACCTGGGCATGTGGGAGCTGGATTGTGATGTACTTGCCAGATGTGTATCACGGAAGATTCGAGAAGGAGAGAAACTAGGCTGGAACATCTGGAAGACTTCAGAGCAGAGGGAGGATTAAAGTAGAAACCTGAAGAATAAGAAGGACTTAACTTTACTAGTGGTAAAAGGAAATGCAAGGTGGCTTTCAAGTCCAGCCTGGGCAACTTAGTGACTTAGTGAGACTGTCTCCTAATAAAAAATAGAAAGGGCTGGGGATGTAGCTTAGCGTGAAGGCCCTGGGTTCAGTCCGCAGAGCAATTTGAAAACTGCCAGACCAGTGGCTCTTCAGTGGGCTTTGTGTTGTGAAATTCCGTGGTCTCAGTGCTTGGCTCACAAACCCCAGGGGCTCTACTTGTTGGATCACATGACTGGGGCTGGGAAGGACAAGGAGATGTGGTGGCAGTGTGTAGTGCAGAAGCAGAGTTAGCGGGGGAAAAAACGACCCAGACTGCACCTGTGAGCCTGTGACCATGAGCCAGCAGGAATCTTCCCACGTAGCAAGAAGTCCAGATCCGCAAAGGGTCCACGTGGGTTTATTTGCAGACAAAACAACCTGCACCAAAGCTCTGCTCCTCCCGAGGATGCTGTCGCGTGTCCTCCTCCCACCTCCCTACCTGGCACTTGGAGCCTGTCCTTGGACCCTTTGCAGCTGTCCGTGGTCAAGGGATGTGTGGCCTGAAATCGCCACCATGAGAGGCCTTTTTGCTCCAAGCTGCCCTTCCCTATGTGTCTCTCTGGGCCACATCCTCGCTCTGATGTGAGTGGGTTTGGACCGGTGTCTGGGAGGAAAGACCCCTGGGCATTCCTTCCCTTCGCCATGGTCAATGGCTTGGTTTTAATAGTATGGGCCCAGTTCTGTCTCGTCCCCTTTAAGATGTCGATCCCCTTACAAGGTTCTTAGTCGCCCCGCCCTCTCCAGACCACCTGCCCCCAAGCCCAGCAGCCTCAGCTCCTCCCTGCCTGCTTTCCTCCCTGTCTCCTCCCGCCTTCCAGGCCTCAGCCTGTAGCTGTCTGGCACTGGAAGCCCCAGGCCACTCCACTCGGTCCTTTCCCTTCCCAACAGTGCTGTGGACCTCTTAATTCATTCTTGTAGCATTGTTGAGCACCCGGGTTGTGACTTAATTTTTAGATTTGTTTTGAGTCCAGGTCTAGGCAAGCAGTGTAGCTCTGGGCTGTGTCCCAGCCCCACCGAGGCCTTACCTGGAAGGACATCAGCTGTCTAGTGAGTCTGCCGCATTCCCACAGTCCCGGCCTGGGATGAGTCCCTCTCCCCTTAGGCTGGCTAGAAGGTCTCAGATAGGTGCAGTGTGGACCCGAGTGACTTGCTGCGTATACTTGAGAGGGTGCCACCACCCTGAGATATGCTATTTTCCATTTGTGAGACAGCCAGATGGATTTTTAGTCTTCTGCAGCATTGGTTTTGCCAACAGTGGATCAAGTGGCTTGGCATTGGCATGTGATTTCTCCTACGGCTTTGTCGAGAACAGAGGATCGTGTGATCACCCCAGGCCCTCGGGTCTTTGATCTCAGAGAGCTCGGAACAGGAGGAGCGGGGAGCTGGGCTGCTGTCGCTCACACCCAAGGCAAACCTCTCCCAGGCAGCGTGAGGAGAGCCTGCGGCCCCCCAGTCCCCAAGCCAGCGACTGATTTGCGCCATGCCGGTGGCGACTCTCCCTTCCTCACAGGGTGCCGTGAGAATGGCGAACATGGAACACCTCACACATTTAGCAAGTGCAACAATTTGTAATCACTAAATCTTGGAAGCAACCCAAATGCCCATCAACAGACAAATGGATAAAAATGTGGGTTTTTTTTATACAATGGAATACTACTCTGCCACGAAGAAGGATGAGCTTGGGACATTTATAGATAGCTAAATGGATGGACCTTGAGACCATTCTCCTTTTTTTTTTTTTTTTTGTAATGTTCTCTTATTTTTTTATTAGTGCATATTTGCAGTACATGATGATTACATAAGTCAGTACATTTACACATTACATTTTCTTTTTCTTTTACGGTACTGGAGATCGAACTCAGGACCTTGTGCTTTCCAGGCAGGCACAGTGCTACTGTGCTACATCCCCGGCCCGAGACCATACTCTTAAGTGAAATCTAACATTTAGCAAGTACAAAACAAACAGAAGCTGCAGCTTCACCCATTAAGACTGGTCAGGGCCCATGCAGGCAATGAGAACACCTCTGCTAACCCTCATAGTGAACCAAAGGGGAGGAGCCAGGGCTGGCAGCAGGCAGAGCCGGAGGGCCCCACAGATGTCACTGTTGAGGTCATGGATGGATGAGGTCTTCCAGGAGATCCCCACAGGGCCAGAGTGTGGGTGCCTGTGGTGGCGCCTCAGCTTGCCCTCTCTCTGGATCCCTGCCTGGACAGCTCGGCCCTGTGAGCGGCTGCTGAAGGGCCAGAGTGAGCTATGGTGTGCTGTTACAGACCAGCTGCTCAGGGAGCGGGGTGGAGAGAGTCCTGCTGAGGGCTTCGGGGTGGAGGAGGGCTTTGATGTGGGCCTGGAGGGTAAACTAGACCTGGAATGAGGGGAAGGGAGCTGGCGGGTGCTGAGTGGCAGGGCCAAGAGGAACCACAGGGTGGCTTCTGTAGCCTCATTTTGCACATTACCTAGTCACATGCCTGGGGTTTTAGTCTATTCTGGAAGCAGCCAGTTGAGCTGCTTTCTCAAGAAAGGCTGCCCTGGGAAGCCAGAGGCCCATCCGGGCTGACGGCTCTGTCTGTTTCAGTGCCATGGGGACTGCCGTGCTAGACGGGCAGATCTACGTCTGTGGGGGCTACGATGGCAACTCCTCCCTCAGCTCCGTGGAGACCTACTCACCTGAGATGGACAAGTAAGTCTCAGCTCCCAGGGCCAAGCTCATACTCAGCACAGCCAGCTTAAAGCTGCAGGGTTTTGTTCTTGTTGTTGTTGTTTTGGGTAGTGGGGATCGAACCTGGGCCCTTGTGCTTTCGAAGCAGGTGACAGAACCACTGAGCTAAATCCCGGGCAAGAGCTGCGGATTTTTATGGGAGTAGAGAATGTCTTACTTTCCTGCCTTATATAGTACTTTGCATATATGCAATAGGTATTTATTAACCCTAGGTTAAATGCATGAATGAGTAAATACGTTTTGTTTTCTTTTGTTGGTGTCGGGAATCAAACTCGGGCCCTTGTGCTTGCAAGGCAGGTGTTGGAACCACTGAGCTAGATCCCCGGCCCTAATGATTAAATATGTTTTAAAAACAAATGTTTGTGCCAGGCATGGTGGTGCATGCCTATAATCCCAGCACTTGGGAGGCTGAGGCAGGAGGATCACCAGAGTGGGAGACCAGCCTGGACTCCTTAGTGAGACCTTATCTCAAAAAACAAGCTACAAAAAGAACAAAAAAAAATTCCACGTAGGAAGTTGGAAACATTTTTTTAAGATCTGTACCTCTTATATGAAAATCAGTCCATGTTGATGGAAATGCAGGCAAAGGGGGACAAGTAGATGAACAGCATGTTCCCAAGCCAGTAGGACATGACTTGGAAAAAGAAAAATGGGAATGTCGATGTTTGTCCCACCGCATCCCCGTCTTTCCTCAGTGCATGCCAACCTTGCAGAGACTCAGGGGGACTCTGCTGTAAAGAACCCTGCTTAACCTTGTGTTTTAAATAACACCTGTCAACCATTGTGTGGGGTGATTTTTATAGAACACTCTTTTTGGAAAACCCTGGTAAGGTTAGCCTGAGTTTTTCATTTTACTGTTTGATCCTCATCTTATGTAACAATATAAGAAGTGAAGTCGAACGGGCTCCTCATGGTGCTTCTAAGCTAACACTCTGTCATTACCCTGCATGGGAAGTGGTGGGCAGCATGCTAGGTGTGGGGACCCTCGGGTAACACCCTGTGTGTTGGGGCCTTGGGTGATACGCCCAGGCCCTGGGTTCTGGCCTGGGTGGGAGTCCCTCCTCTTCCTGGGCTCGGGCTGTCCTCCCAGGTAAGACCCATCGTGGTGGCACAGGGAGGAGGGGCTTGTGTGATGGAGGACAGGCCTGGGGTCTGGTGGGCCGGGGCACAGAGTGGAGGGAAGCAGCGGGTGCGGCATGGTACAGAAGACGGCAGAGGAGCGTACTGAGGAGGAGCGTACTGAGGAGGAGCTGGGCCCTGGCCACATGGGCTGCGGAGGCACTGGTCTGGCAGTGGGGCCACTCAAAAGGAGGGGGCGCGAGGTCCAGGGCCAGGCCAGGTCACGACTAGGGCACAGCTGCCGGGACTTGGGGACCAGAAGAGAGTTGAGTGAGGGAGAAGCAGACACACAGCGATGGAGGTAGAGGTCCCATAACAAGGCCAGGCAGTGCAGGGAGGAGCGGCCGTGTTTGAAAGGGGCTGGCTCTGAGTGTCCACGGAGACGTACAGAGAAGGCAGGCTGTGATGGAAGAGGGAGAGAGGTGGGAGACGTCCGGGCACGAGGGGCTCAGCTCACCAGGCCCGCTGTCACGGCCCCTCCTGTGTTACTTTCCTGAAGGTGGACAGAGGTGACCCCGATGAGCTCAAGCCGCAGCGCTGCTGGCATCGCGGTTTTCGAGGGGAGGATCTACATGTCGGGTGGCCACAACGGCCTGCAGATCTTCAGCAGCGTGAGTCTGGGCCAAAGGTGCCGCCTCCCACCTCCCACCTCAGAGTACTTTGAAAACGCTGGGTACAGTGCCATCCCGTGAGGGCGGACTGTCCACTGCGTCCTCTGAAATCCCTAGCTTCGGGAAGAGGCAGGGCCGTCACTCCTGCCCACCCCCCACTCAGCTGTTCTGAAACCTCTGCCCACAGTGAGCTCGAGGGCAAATTTGCACATAGTTCTTCTGGACACTGCTTTTGAAATTGCTTGTTGTTTGTTGAATAGTCAGTTTGTTTGGGGTTTTTTGTTTTTGTTTTTTTGAGACAGGATCCTGCTATGTAGCCTAGGCTGGCCTTCAACTCACAGTGATCCTCCTGCCCTCGGCCTCCTGAGGGCCTGCACACCCAGCTGAAATTGCATTTTTAGAATTTTGTTGCATTTTATTTGTTCAGGAGCCATGTAGTAGTGGTTCCATAGTCAGTGCTGTGGGGCAAGTGCAGGACAGTCCCAGGAGATCTCGCTCTCAACCCAGCTCTGCTGTTCCCTAGCAGACCCCCTTGGCAAACCCCTTGTCTGTTTCCTCAGGTGCACACAGAAAGGGTCACCCTGGATGGCCTCTCGCTCGTCAGAGCTGAGCACACACTGGTGGAGCCCCTCACCCCCTGCCGCCCCCAGTCTGACGCCCATGAGCCCGTGCTGTGCCCCGCAGGGTCACTGCCAGGGCCGGGCTGTGGCTCTGACGCCCATACCCACGCCTCTCCCTGCTGCAGGTAGAGCACTACAACCACCACACAGCCACCTGGCACCCGGCCGCCAGCCTGCTCAACAAGCGCTGCCGCCATGGGGCCGCCTCCCTGGGCAGCAAGATGTTCGTGTGCGGGGGCTACGACGGCTCCGGCTTCCTGAGCATCGCTGAGGTGTACAGCTCCGTGGTGGACCAGTGGTGCTTCATCGTCCCCATGCACACGCGCCGCAGCCGGGTCTCCCTCGTGACCAGCTGCGGGCGGCTCTACGCAGTGGGCGGCTATGACGGACAGTCGAACCTGAGCTCTGTGGAGATGTACGACCCCGAGACAGACTGCTGGACGTTCATGGCCCCCATGGTGTGCCATGAGGGCGGGGTCGGCGTGGGCTGCATCCCCCTCCTCACCATCTAAGGCCAAGGGTGGGAGGCAGTGGGGTAGGGATCCGGTACAAACCTAGGCGCTTCCGTCCGGGGCCGAGCCCTCCGGGAGAGGTGAGGGACCAGGAGGCGGGGAGAAACGCGAGCTTGCCAGAGGCACGGCTTCTCCAGGTACTTACACCCTCCTCCCTGTGCTGCCCTTGTGACCTGTGGTCCCCAAGGTGCACAGCCGGGGACAGGGAGCTGCGTTGCTGGTCCACACAGATGCAGCTCCAGCCCGGCCCAGCTCCAGCCCGGCCCAGCTCCTGCCCTCTGAGGTGTCAGGAGCCGCCCACCTGCGGCCACTCTGCCATGGGGAGGGGAAGGGGGCCCAGCGCGTGGGAAATCATGGGGTGCAGCTGGAGAGAAAGGGCGCACCCCACGTGTTCTTCCTGTCGGTGATGATGTAGCTGCAGCAGCGGCAGCGGCAGCGGCAGCTTCCGCTATGGGACACGGAGGGTTCTGTCCTCGCCTCTGGTAAGCAGGGAGGACCCCGGTCTTCCCCTTGTCTGATGTTGGGATTTCAGTAAGGTCTTTCCATCTTGTCCAGGAGAAGTAGGGAAAAATGGTACTTGAAAGCAACGGACGGCATAAAACACTTGAAAGAAACTGGAAAGAAAAATACTTTTTTTAAGTGAATTTTTTCTGCAGGCAGAAAATATGAAGGACACTAAAGGCAAATAAATACATGTTTAAGTGAAAAAGCCACCAAACATGAGAATGTCAGTGTCCGCTCCCACATCTGGATCCCAGGGTCCGGAGCCTGCTGAAGCAGTTGGAGCCCTGCATGCCTGGAATCGGGACCCTTGTGCTGGTCCTGCCACAGGTGCTCATGGCTCATCTCCACATCCGGCTCGCCAGGAGGTGAGTTACTGCCTCTCCTGGCTGGGAGTCCCGGCTGCTGTGGAGGCTCCAGATGCCCGTGATTACCTCCCATTGCCACCAGGGCGCTCGCTGAGCCCCCCACTCCCACTTCCCTTCCTTCCCTTTGGGACCAGCGGGAAACAGCGCATCCAGCCAGATTCGCTCTGCCCATCCGTCCGTCCTGGATCCTGCTCCTCGTGATGCTCCTGGGCTCATTGCCCATTTGTACCTCCAGAACCCAGTCAGGGTTCCTCCCACCAGCCTGGGGAAGGCTGGCCTGTGGCCTCGCCCGCCCTGCCATCCACTTCCCCTCCGTCCACTCGCCAGTGCCAGGGGTCTGACGTCCCCAGCCCCTGGCCGCCCGACCAGCAAGGTGGACCTTTACTTCCAAGCACATCTGGCTCTAGGGTCTGAAGGACTTGAGGCTAAAAGAATCTTTTGCTGCTGAAAAGAATGGATTTTATATTTCTTCCTCTAATCTTGGCAAATGACCTCATGAAGAGACTGCACTCCTTCCTCCTCCCCGATGGGACCTTCATGTCACACCTCAGGACCCAGAAAGGAGGACATTTTCTCTTACCAGTGCCCTGGGCAGTGAAGCTGTTCTTCAACTGCTGCTGCCAAAATCTGCTTTTATAAATTCTTCCAGTGGAGACTCAAAGAGGACACAATTCCTTTTTGCTCAAGACCGGGCCTTAGGTCACACTGGCCACCTGGTTGATTTTCCATGCTCTGCTGCCCACCTGGAGTGGCTCAAGCCCGTTTAGAGAGGCACAGTGTGGCGCCTGGGCGTTGCCTTCCTCCCCATCCCCAGTACCACCAGGGTCACCAGGGTGTGCGATCGTCATGGGGACAGAGGGGAGGACCTCTGTCACTTGCAGCTTGGGAGCTGGACCTCTTACAAGCACTTGAAAGTGACGTTTTTAAGACTCAACAACCTGAGAGCTGCGTCCCCTTGGTTTGCCTGTGTGGGTAGGCTGCAGGGGAGGAGGAGGAGGATCCATTTCCTGCCGAGAGGAGTTACAGCGCTCACCCGCTCCCGAGGAGCCCTTCTCTTGTGACTGAGGCAGCGCTGGGTCTGGCTCGTGAAGGTGCTCATCAGCGGTCACCAGAGTGGGCCTCGAGCTCTTCAGGGCACTGGCCCTCTCGCCACTGGGGCCGGTGAGTCCCTTTCCCATGCCCTGCCGCCCCGTGGTGGCCTTCCTGGGTCCACTCCCGCTGGACCTGAGGCCACACTGCACCCAAGGCCAGTGTTTGTTACCAAGGAAGAACAAGCCCGTGCTTTGATCTGGGCTCTGAGCAGTTTCCTGAACCTCGTTTTCAAAAACATCCCAGCCGTTTCCTGGACGACTGTGTGTAGTGTTGGGTACCACGGGCAGGATGAGACTGCATCCGAGGACATTGCGTGCCATGGCCTCAGGGAGCAGCCTGGCTCTGAGCAGAGGGCACCTGTGTTTGCTGTCCTTGTCATTTCGCCGCCTCGGATGATGCAGAGGTCTCTCTTCTGGGGTCACCCGAGATCACGGCCAGCTGGGGCCTGACGACCAGCCTCTTGGCTTGACCACAGGTGTGACCATGTAGGCATCCCCTGCCCCACTTAATGTCTCACAGAAAACCCTTTATTTATAGAACGCATGTCATTTGTTTTAAACCAAAGAGAAATAAACACTCCTAATGGCTTTTGCCCCTTCCTGATTTTTTTTTTTAATTAGAAGCACATCATTTTTACTGCAATTCACTGTGAAAATATATTGGACAGGCTAGGCATGGTGGTGCATGCCCATAATCCCAGCACTCTAGGAGGCTGAGGCAGGAAGCTCACGTGTTTGAGCCCAGCCTGGACAATGCAGCAACTTAGTGAGACCCCATGTCAAAATTTTAAAAGGGCTGGGGATGTGCAGTGCAGAGGCCCTGGATTCAATCCCCAGTGCCGCCCATACATAGACTCATGTATACAAATATACATGACAAGGAGGAATATACCTGTGAAAACGGGAGAGCCGGATGTCACACATCAGAAGCAGTCTCAGGCAGATGTGTGTATTTTATAAAAGAGTCCTGGTGAACAGACTCAGACTTGGTTTGCATGTTTTGCTGCACAACTGGCCCCTTGCACACTCCTGCTGCTCTCAGATCCCCGAGCTCTGTCTCCCCTTCGTGCCCGCTCCAGAGTCCCCGAGATAACTGGAACCGACCCCTCCACCTCTTTTCTTACACTCTAGGCCAGGTGTCCTTTAACTTTAGTACACTTGGAAGTTGTTGGAAGTTGTTTTTCTTGCCTCTGTTTGCTGTAGATAATGATTCCATTTCACCGTGGGATTGGGACGTCCACATGACACATCTTAATTCTTGTTATGTGGCCTCCCCATCCTTTGGTCTCCTTCCCCTTTGAGAAAACTCTGTTTCCTGGCTTCCTATTCTCTGGCTGTTATTTTGCTCTTTAACGTATTTATACTTTCGGTTTCCCATTATAAGAGAAACCATTCGATATTTAATCTTGTGTGTCTGGTTCATTTCACTTAACACTGTGGTCTCGGTGCATCCACTTCCCTACAAATAACCCACAGTTATCCTTCTTGATGGCAGAGTAGTATTCCCTTGTACGTAAATACCTCATTTTTATCCATTCATCTGTTGATGGACATATATACCACTAGTTGCTAGAAGTGTTTTAGACCACCAGTGAACTCCTAGATCAGCCCCTGCCCCATGGATCCACAGGGTACTTCCGGCAAGCCGATCTTGTGGGTGTGAGAGCCACATGCCTGGCTTTAGGCTTTCCTTGATTCTTGATGGAGGATTTGTCTTGTCGGGTCTTCCCTACAGCCTGGTTAAAAAGATAGAGTAGGGATAGCCCCGTTTTACAGGTACAAAAACTGAGAGGAGAGCTAGTCAGGCTCACTCAATGAGTGGCAAAAAGAAAAGTAAAAGCAAATAAAAAGGTCACAAATAGGGCCGGGGATTTAGCTCAGTGGTTTCCCTGCCTGCTGCGCAAGCGCAAGGACCCAAGTTTGATCCCCGGTACAAAAAAAAAAAAAAAGGTAACCAATCATGGTACATCCGTTCTCAGCAATAAGAGGAATAAATACCAACCACGTGGGCGAATCTCAGAATTACACTGCTGGGTGAAAGAGGGCAGAGTGAAAAGCACCTGCTGGATGATTCCAGAGACGGCAGCTGTAGTGGCCGGAAGCAGATCCGAGTGCCTGAAGATGGCAGGGCTGGGGGTGGGGCAGGAGGAGACCTGGTGGCTGTGGGGGACTGAGACTGTTCCATGGGCGCACACCGTTGCGTGCAGGCTGGTGTATGTCAGCTGCAGCCCCAGGAGGCAGCACACTGATTCTCCTCTGACGCCTCCGTCCCCAGGTTTGCTGTCCCCTTTCCCCAGTGGAGGGGCCTTTTGTGACCACGTGGGGCTCCAGGCCCCAGGGTGAAAGTTGGGCCGGGCTGGGGTCCAGGGGTTCTGCATCTGACACCTGATCTCTGCACAGTGAACCTCAGGGTCCTGCTTTTGTCGTTTGACACAAACGCTTTTCTTAATGTTTCAGAATCTTTGTGGTTCTTGTGCAGTTTTCAGTTCTGTTCTGCGTATGCCCTCCTGGTGCCTTCCCCACGTAGCACGTGCCATACACGCCAGACTCCGCCTCGCGGCCAGGTTTTGCTAGAGCAAACCCCACTCCATTTTACTTCTCTCTCGCTGGGTTTCCTGCTTGTTCTACTGCCTGTGTTGCAGCCCTTCACCATCACCCTTGTCAACTCCATTTCTCACTGTCCTCACACAAACCACCTACCTGTGCGTGTCTGCACGTCCCCTCGTATTTGAAAAATTCTGTTTCCCCCACACCTGCCAAAGCTCTGTTTTTTCTTTTTGTTTTTTACTTTTTATTTTAAGATGGGGTCTCACTAAGTCGCAGAGGAGCCCAGGTGGTCCTCCTGCCTCAGCCTCCTGAGTGCGTCACTACACCTGGCTATAATTTCATGGCTTTTAAAGCTTTGCTACTCAGAGTGTGGTCCCCAGACCAGCAGTAGCAGCAGCTCCAGCAACAGGGCCTAGAGGCTGGTCCTGCGGGCCGATGTATCAGACCCCACGTGACATGGTACTGACCAACACAGTTGGCTGCTGAGCATCCTGGGAGAGGTCCCTCAGCCCAGCCCCAAGCTGTCCAGCTGGAAGGCTGAGCCGGTGACCCCAGAAGACCTGGATGAGTGTGGGGCACCCCCTCGGAGAGCTGGGGCAGCCGAGGAGCTGTGGGGGTGCGGTGTGGATGAGATGCAGGCACATCCTGTGGGGCTGAAGCCCAGGGAAGGCCGGAAGCGGCCTCTTGTGCCCGACCGTCATCTCCTGGCATGGGAAGGAGGTCTGCGGGTCTCCACTCATCCTGCTCTTCCATGGACAACCCTTTCCTTCCTCTCACCCAGCACTGGTGCCCTCGGGACTTGAATGGAACAGGGGCTGGAGTTGGAACCATAGGCAGTTGAACCATCTTCCTTGACACTTGATTTTGTCACCAAAAGCCGTAGATGGTACATGCAGCTTGCAAAGCTAAGGGACTGGAAGTGCCACTCAGACAATGACGCTGTTCTTAGGAACGGACAGAGATCTTTCCTCCCCAGCGCCAGTAGCCAATACTGAAGAGCCCACTTCCCGAGAGGCCACCTTGGGCTCCCCATCCTGTCCTTAGCACCCTTCCATGGTTTCTGTCCTGATCACAGGGTCTCCCTGACCCCACCCCCCACCCTGCCCCTGCCTCATTCCTGGGTTCCCTCATCCTAGGTTCAGACACTTGGATCTCTAGTGCTCAATTCATACACTCAGACATTTGCTTCAGAAATGTTTTACTGAACCTTCCCGTGGGTCTCGAGGTTTTTGGACATGGGAAGGGGTCTTTGGTGGTCACAGTGAGTAGGCAGAGAGCAGAGGTGCTCAGGGTCTTTCCCGAAAGGATCTGCCCTCCCAGGGCACAGCTGCAGCCAGCCTGCTGTGAGTGGACACAGCGCCATCTGGCTGGGGACACAGCAGCAACGCCACGAGGTGTCAGGACCCAGTGAGCTGGGGAAGGCAGGGGCTTCCTGGAGGAAGCAACTTCCCCGCTGTGCCTCAAGGGAGAAACAGGATTTACAGACCCTGGAGGGGCAGGCAGGCAGGCCAGGCAGAGGGAGCAGGTGTGCCACGGTGGGCTCCAGTTTTGGGAATCGCCGTAAAGGGGGTCACTGGGCGGTGCAAGACAGGAGGCACTGCAGGCCAGGCGGGCGCAGGCTGCCCAACCTTCCCACCCTAGAAGTTCCTCAGGATGTTGGAGATGATGTCATACTTGGCCTTCTCGTACAGGTACTTGGCGGCGGGCGGCACCTCAGCCTCGGCGGCCGCTGCTGGCTCAGCGACCTCGGCGCCCCCTGCTGGCTCAGCGACCTCGGCGACCTGGGCAACCTCACCGGCCTCACTGGGCTCAGCTGGCTCAGCGGAGGGTCTCACCCTTTGGCCCTGTAGGTCGACATGGGTGGTCAGTTCCCACCACCACTCCAGGGCCACTGTCCCTCCTGTCCCCTCCTCCTGACCGCCTGCCACTTCCCACCGGGTGCCCTGCAGGTGGGGCATGGGAAGGGGACCTGGACTCACCCGGATCAGGTCCCCACAGTCCCGGTCGCAGCTGACGGTCAGGCTCAAACGCCGCCCCAGCCTGGAGAATTGGCCGTTGCAGAGGCGCTCCTCCTGGGGGGAGAGGGACAGCAGCTGGCGGCGGCCACCCACGTCTCAGCCCAGCCTCAGACCTGAGGTTTTCTCATTTGGGAGAGGGGAAGCCTGGGGATTGAACCCAGGGCACTGAGCTACACTATTAGCCCTTTTTATTTGTTATTCTTAAAATTTTGTTATTCTGTTTTGTTTTCAGTACTGGGGAGGAAACCCAGGGCCTTGGACTTGCTGGGCAAGGGCTAAACCACTGAGCTCACACCAGCTTTTTCTTTTTATAAAACACTGAGTCTGGCTAAATTACTGAGGCTGACTTGAACTTTCGATTTCCCTCAGCCTCCCAAGTAGCTGGGATTACAGGCATGGGCCGCTGTGGTCACTGATTTTATTTTTTAAAAACAGTGATTCTAGGGCCAGGGATTTAGCTCAGTGGTTCCGCTGCCTGCCTCCCAAGCGCAAGGTCCGATCCCTGGTACCAAAAAAACCCAAACAAACAAACAGTGATTCTAGGTGGATCATGGTCACACTTTGTATTTGTTTTAGTTTTTGTTTTCTTTACATTACAGGAAAGCCAGCTCTAGGAATTGAGTGACCTGGGCTGTCAGAGTCTCTCCAGGTTTATTTATATACTGATCGTTAAAGGGGGTTACTTTTATAATAAAGATTTAGGATAATTTATAGAAAGAAAGAGCAGTAAGGGAAGTCTGATTTTGCAAAAGGCTTTCACAGTGACACCTGTGGGGAGAGGGCCCAGTGACGGGAGTGGAGGCCATCCGGGGGCCTCTGTGTCCCTGGTGGGGAGCCGGGGTAACTCACCCCACCCTCCAGGAAGGCGCAGTTCTGGGGCTGTCGCAGTCTCTCTGGAGTGGAGGTGCACACCGTCTCTCTAATCCTGAAGTTCAGCGGGAACCTGGTGGTGGAGTTCTAGAGAAGCAGCGGAAACCCTGTGACTACCTCCCTTTCCCGGAAACACCGAGGAGCTGCGCTGGCCTTGTCAGCAGGGGCTCAGCACGCTCTGCGCTTTCCACAGAGCCGGGGCTCCTTAGCCTGCCTGCACCCACTGGAGGTGCTCAGTCTCCAGAAAGAGGCCTTCCTGCCTCTGCCCCTCTACAGCCTGGGAACCAGCAGACCCTGCCCGAACGCTCCGCTGCCAGGAGAGAGAAATGGAGGCCCGGGAGACCAGGCCAGTTCCTTCCTGTCCCTGGCAACAGCTCTCGTAGTCCCTCAAGCCCAGGGCCCAACAGAGGCTGGATCCCCAAAGCCACACTGGATGAAGCCACACCCAGGCAGCTGCAGGCTGAGATTACAATCTTGTTGTATCTTCAAGTGGAAAAAACTTCTTTGTTTTGCTTTGAGACAGGGTCTCACTATATAGCCAAGGCTGGCTTCCAACTCATGATGCTCCTCCTGCCTCAGCCTCCCAAGTCCTGGGATAACAGGACGCCCCTGAGTAAGAAACACTGTTCTAAGGATGGTTGATGTTACCAAGCACTTTGCTTCCATGCCAGGCTCTGTCCTGCCCAGCACCTTCACAGGTGTAAGGCTGGCAGCACCTGCTTCCCTGCTCCCTGCTCCCGAGCCTGAGCCCCAGACACTCACCAGCTGAGGAGGCGGGATGGTTTCCACCAGGCGGAAGAGGGGCCTCCCCTGCTGGCCTTCATTGTAGACCCTCAAGGCCTTGGCGACAAGGTCCTCATATCGCAGCCGGTGCCGCCGGTGCGCACAGGACACCCCTGCCAAGCAGAGCACCAGCACAAGTACCTTCCAGGCCCCTGCCATTGTGCCTGCCCTGACGCAATGCGCTCCCAGCCCCTTTTAGACCCTTCCCAGCCCACCTTGCCCAAGGGCTGCTGGCCACACGGGGACTGGTGGCTTCCTGAAACGGGGCTGCTGCTTTCCTCAGCCAGAGATCAAGGTTGGCCAATGTTGCAAAACGCCATTAGCTAAGAAGCTTGGGCAACAGACCAGGGCCTAGTAGGGACACGGGAGTCCTGAGCTTGGGCCAGGACACCTGGGTATCCCTGCACGCCAGACCTTGTCACCGCCTCTGCCCCAAGGAGGACTCTCCTGGTCTCCCAGGGCCGTGTGTCTCGCCGTCTGGCAGAAACAGCTGCCCAGAACCCGAAGACTTGGAGAATGATGGTTCCACGGGCAAGGTGACTGAGGATCCGATCCCAGGCTGTGCTCAGGCATTAAAAGGAAAAAACATTGGAAGGCAGGTGTGGTGGTACACACCTCCAATCCCAGCTCTCCAGAGGCTGAGCAGGGCAGGAGTTCAGCTGAACCACATAGCAAGACCCTGTCTCAAAAAACAAAAAAAATCAAAAATAAACAAAAAACAAAAAAATTGGTTGCCAACTTTTTTTGGGGCAGCGGGGGGAATAAGTTTTATTTTTAAAAACTGATATAAAAATTGTATGTATTTACCGTGAACAACTTGATGTTTTCCAATATATACACACTATGGTATGGCTAGTCAAGCTAATTAGCATATGCATAACCTTGCATAGTTAACACGCTTTGTGGCAAGAGTAATTATCTACTTGCTTGGCAATTTTCAAATATGCAACACATGTTGATATTAACATATAGTTGCTATGTTGTACAAAAAGGAAACTGTATCCTTTGACCAACATTTTACCGATCTCTATTCCTTCTCCATCCCAGTCCCTGGTAATCTACTATTCTATTCAGCTTCTTTGGGTTCAACTTCTTTAGATTCCACATATATGTGAGATTGCATGGTATTTATCTTTTTGTGCTTGATGTATTTCATTTAGCTTAATGGCCTCCAGGTTCAATCTTCTGTTGATGATTTAGATGTTTCATCTTGATGTGTATTCAGATTTTTTTTTGGTGAAAATGTTGGTACTCTGCCACTGAGCTATGGGCCAGCCCATCATATTTTCTGTTATTGTTGTTTTTTGTTTTTTTTGGTACCGGGGATCGAACTCGGGTGCTTGCGCTTGCACAGCAGGCGACGAAACCACTGAGCTAAATCCCTGGCCCATCCTATTTTCTTTTAAGACGGTGTCTTGTTAAGTTGCCCAGGTACTTGTGATCCTCCTGATTCGGTCTCCCAAAGTGCTGGGATTACAGGCATGCACCAGCACACCGGGTTGAGAATTTAACTCTAACCCCTTCACATAACTGATAGGCTCCAGCCCAAATCCTACCGAAATAATAATAATAATCAAGCTTTTAGATTCCTGAGGAGGTTTTTTTCCCCCACCACAATAGCCCTGACTATAGCTAATTGTTCTTGAAGTGTAGTTTGCTTTGTCTTTGTTGTTGTTGTTGTTGTTGTTGTTGTTATCCTTTGGAAATTCCTTTTGCTAAAGAAACAGGAGCGTAGCATTGCCTGATCCACTGAACTGACTGCTTCCCGGGGTCGTTGGTCCGGTTTTCCCACTATTAACAGGTAGGGAAACCTCGCACTGAAGTCCAGCAGGTCGCTCAGCTCCTGGTCGGTCCTATCGCGGCCATGCGCTGCTGTTGGGGGTTCATCTTCGGCCACTTCTCGCAGGTCCTACGGCGCGCGCGAGGCGGGTCCATGACCTGGGCGTGGCGGCGGTGAGGACTCCGCAAGTTTCCGAACCCGTCCCTACCCGGTCCCGGCACCCCCGCTCGGCCCGAGGGTCCCGGGGGCGAGAGGCGGCCGCGGCGTCCTGAGCCAGCACGGCGGGGGAAGTGACTCGCTCTCTCCCAACCATGGAGCGGACAAGTTGCGCGTGGCAGCCACCTCGGCGCCCGGGACCCCGGCCCTCGCCCCGCGCCGGCGCCGCCGAACAATGCCTGGTTGCCAACTTTTAAAGGGCTGGATGCCCAACTTTGAAAAATCAAGATCAGACCATCCCTGGCCCACCAGTCCCCCTCAGCCTGATGTCAGCAGCCCCTTGATGCCAATCTCCCCTAGCTACTCCCTGCAGGAAGGGACAGGGGACCCCGGGAAGGAGTTCAGAAGGGAAATACAAAGGCCTCCTCTCCACTGAAGACTCCCATTTGCCTGGGCTCCTTCGCGAGTGAGAATCAGCCCTCGCTTCCTCACCAGCCCCGGGGCTGAGGGGCTCTTGCTCTCTCTCCTAAAGGAGATTCAGAGACCAGTGAAGACAGCAACTGTAAGGATTTCCCACTGAAGCCTGCCAGTGGGGAAACTGAGGCACGGAGCAGCTCATGCTTCTTCCTCCCAAAAGCTACGGGTAGAGGTGAAAGAGTCAGAGCTGGAAGTTGCGGGGGTGGGGCAAGCCCAGCACAGTCCTCCACAGAGCAAACGGGCCCCGTCTCATCTTCAAATCCCCCAAAGGCTGTTTCACAATGATAACAGATTAGAAACAACCTAAATATACAACAGAACTCACTGTGATGGCAGACGCCTGTAATCCCAGCCCTCGGGAGGCTGAGGCAGGAGGATCGCTGTGAGTTTGAGGCCAGCCTGTGTTTCACAGTGAGTTCAAAGCCAGCCTGGTATATGTAGGAGACCTTGTCTCAAGACAAACAGCAGGTGTGGTGTGTGGACTCGTGGAATATGGATTCTCCTTATTGGAGCACAGAATCATTTCTTGATGGTGATTACACTCCTTCTAGATGAAGGAACAGGGTTCCATGCAGCAGGTCTGGTGGGAGACTGGCTGGGGCCTGGCCTGGCCCAGTGCAGTCTGTGCTGGTCCTGTGAGCTGGGCTTCCCACCCTGGGGCCACAGGGGTGCTTAGGATAGCAACAGTCTCTGTCGGTGTCTGGGGTCCATTGTGGGATGTAAGTGGAGGAAGATGGGGTGCACACTGCAGTATTTCATGAGCAGTTAAGCCATGGTTCCCAGTGGACAATTGCCCCCCATTCGCAGGACTATTGTCAATATCTGGACATTTCTAACTCTTTGATCATCATAACATGGAGAGAAGGTGGAATCAAGTGGGTTGAGGCCAGGAATGTTACTAAATATCCCACCAGCGTGGGAAAGTGCCGAGGGCAAGAAACCCTGTGATAGAGCCAGAGACGAGGCATGGATCCATCCTGCAAGCTAGTTTGGGTGCACTTCTCTGTGACTTCCAGTACAAAGTCACAATGAACGGAGGATGCGGGCATCCAGTGGAGACGGGAGGGACCAGACCCTGCAACTTCCATATCAAGCCCAAAGTCTGCAGTGTGTCCAGAGGCGTGAGGACAGGAAGCAGCAGAGTGGAAAATGGAAGAAGTGTTTGGTTGTCATTTATTTATTTAATTTTGGACAGGTGGACTCTACAGATTATGAGTTCAAATGATCAAACTCTGATAGCTCCATAAACACATCTCAATACCTTGTCCCTTATCATGGACTCAGGGCTAGTGCTGTGTAAGCCCTGCCTCAGCTTCAGGGTCACAGAGACGCGGGTTCAAATCCCACCTCTGACACTTCCCCAGTGCCTTTGTCAGTTTCTCTGACGATGTTTTCTCACCTGTAAAGCAGAAAGAAAGCTAACGTGGGTGGGTGGGGGGCTCTGGGCCAGTGTGTGAGGCAGAGGGAGCCATGGCTGTGGTGGCTTTACTGCAGCCACAGCCAAGACCCACCACAGACATGGGGAGTGCTGACCTCGGCCAGGAGCAGACCAGGGACCTCAGTGAGGGGGAACTCAGGTCGGGAGCACTTATGCACGGTGCCCAGCTATAGGGCTGTTAAGTGGCGGTCTGGGATTCCAACCCTGGTTACTGTTGTTCACTTTGCAGCTCTGCCTTCTGAAGAGTGGCTGGGGCTGCTGGCAGCCGAGCTGCAGCAGTGAGAACGGCGTTCCACCCCCAAACCCACCTGGTGTGCAACTCCACCTGAGGCTTGGGCTTGGGATAGCAGCTGAGGGCAGGAAGCAGGAACAGACCCCACCCGACCCCAGGCAAAAGTCCTCCATCTACAGGAGGCAGGAAATCCCCTCAAGCGGTAGTCCCACCCCACAATTACAGGTCCCCTCTAGTACACACAGAGGTAGGGTGACATACCACACCTGTGTCTCTTTCTCAGTGTCCCGACAGCTTCCACACCTTTCTGGAGAAGGTGGCTGGATGCTGGGTGTTGTGGTGCACGCCTCTAATCCCAGCATTTGGGAGGTTGAGGCAGGAGGATTGCCGTGAGTTCAAGGCCAGCCTGGGTTACATAGTGAGACCCCGTTCTAAAAGACAAAAATGGCTGGAACAAAAAGTTTTCACAAGGGCTCTAGAATTGTGAAGAAAAACACACCCCATTGTGGTTCAGCTTCCCATTGCAGTAATGAGGTGGTCAGGAGGTGGGCAGGGATTTCAGAACCCTTGCCCAAGGGGCCTGTGCCAAGTCCGGATGGAGAAAGCTGTGATGACCACACAGGCCCATGGGGACACACCTGCCGTTCCTAAACCAGCACTGTGGACACAGTTGCCCACGACCCACAGGCAGAGGCCTGGTTGCATCTAAGAGCCCAGCCTGCGGCATTTCCCTGCAAGGGCCAGGATGTCTCAAAGCTCCACCTTTGGCAGTGCTGGAGGGCGTGCATGGGGGCCCTCCCTACCAATGCTCTGAACCTGGGGTCTGTCCTAGGCAGAACAGGGATAAACCCTCCTCTGCTCCCTTTCCAGTCTCAGACACTGGTACAAGAGGGCCCCTTGCCGGAGAATTAAAACTGGTTCGGAGCAAAAAACCACAATTTCCATCCTGCAGGGTTTTGCGGAGCCAGAGGCTCCCAGGACTGCAGCGACACCTTGGCTTTGGCGCCCTCTGCTGGCTAAGAGGGGAGGGGTTTGATTCCATGCAGGGCCCTCAAATGTCTCTGATCCCCTGCGTATCTGCCTACGTGTTGGAGCCTCTCTGTGGGAGAAAGTA